GACAACGTACTCTACGACAGACGATGGAAGAGATGGAGTAAGCGAAAGATCGAATGTATGGCCGCTAGTTTTAAAGAACTTAAATCGGAAGTCGTGAAACGACAACGAAATATGTCGACGGAATTGGAACAGACTAGATCGGAAACGGAGGCGATTTCGACGGATCTGGAACAGATGAGATCTGAAACGGCGGATATTTCGAGAGACTTGGAACAGATTAAATACGATACGGTGAAACAGAAACAAGATATTTCGACGGATTTGGAACGGATTCGATCGGAGATGGAGGAGCATAAACGACAGCTTTGGACGGATTTGCAACAGATGCGATTGGAAAAGCGAGAGCAGACACGAAAGTTTGGGACAATGTTATTGGAATTTGGAAATCAGATGATTGCCGATAAAAAAATTTAAAGAAAATTAAGTCAAGTTGTTTTGTTGACAATTAAAAAATTTTTATATATAAAAAAAGAATTGTGATTTTTCGATTTTTTTTTCTTTCGTTTCCTTTGTTTCGATACGACGGTGTTGATGATGATTGATGATGGGGGTGGAGAACACTCGCACATACCAACGGAAAACTTTAGGTAAAAAACAAAAAAATATATATAGAGGGTGGCAGACACGTTTTATCGAACATCGAAACATGGCTACAACTTCTTTCGTCCGAACGTATTCCGATATTCCACAAAAACCCTTCTGCCGCTCTATATCGAGTGTCCATGACGTCATCCATTCTCTCTACATAGCTTAACGTCATCGGGTGCGGCCAACACGCACAATATAAACTGACACGCACACGACGATTAACACAGTCTTTTCGAAGAGCTCACACGCACACATACGCACACAAAATATAATTAAAAATATGGATAGGTAAAATATAGAATTTTGTCGTATCTACCAATCCGAAAGCTGTTGGAGTTGAACCTAACCGAATACCAACTATGGTTAGTATATAAAGAGATTCATCCCGAAGTCAAGTGGGACTCGAAAGTGAGTTATAGCAAATTTTTTAAGTTTGAAGATTTGTTGGATCGTAAGTTTAAAAAGCTACAAGGCGTTGCAGCCGAGACTCGAGATTACGTATTGGAAGCTGTCGAGGATATGCGAGAAAGGATTCTCAATATCATGAAGGACAATACTATAGAATGCAAGGATGACGTCGTAAGATCAGATTGGGACGATACAAGGCGCCTTATAAACGGTGTCGTCATATGTGAACAACTGTGTTGGCGAGCCTGTAAAACGGTTGAGAACGTTGAGGATGAATATATACACATCTAGATGTGTATAAGAGACAGGGTTTATTTGTAGTAAAAGGCTAATCGCAA